ACTGTTGGGTGTTCTGAAAAACCGGCTATTCATGTAAACACAACCTACAAAGTCACTCTTAGTGAAAAATCTCTTTATTCCATCTCTTCTCCTCTGGTTATCTTCCTTTCTGTACCACTTGTCTTTTTCCATCAAGTGGACAGAAAAAAAAGCAAAACCCAGGATGGAAGCCCAAGCCAAAGAAATCTGCATCTAAACAAAATTATATTTGCAACAGGCAGTGGTTAGTTCTAATTTAGATAATCCAAAGTAGGTCACCTTCATGAGTCTTCCAGACTTTCCAACTTAGCAACTCAGATGGATAATAAAACAATTTTTAGTTAATGAGAGAACATCAGAAAAAAAAAAGAACTGCAGGAAGCTGTGAACTGCAGTATCTCCTCACTGAGACAGAATGCCACATGGCAAGAACAGATGGGTAATCCTTCCGTGATTATCCTCGACCACTGGCTGAAAGAAAAAGCTGTCACAACATGGAGGGCTGTATATAAAGTGCATCTACAGCCATTTCCCCTCATTGATAGTAAAAGGTTTTATATGCAAGAGATTGTAAAGAAAAAGGGATGCTTTAATGTGATGGTGAAGGGAATAATTCTTCCATTTTCCTTCACTTCGTGAAGTGGAGCATATGCCAAGGTCCTGAACTAAATTTCTCTCTCAGAAGGAAGGTGTAATATACATTCCATATCCATATCAGGTATTTCATACAAACTGAACATAGAACCTGCTTTTATTGTCTTTGAATCCTGACACAGTATGTTGAGTTGATAATTTATAGACAGTGTTACCAGAAGGAAATGCTGGTGTCAAAAATTTTGCTTTTGCATATTCATTGACACCAGAGTTTGCATTTGTGATGTGGCAAAATGAAACCAGAGTGGATTAAGAAAGGTTTGCTGGAATCTTAAGTTTTACAAAACCACCAGTATGGAAGGCATTTCTTGCATGCAGTGGTCACATCTCCTTTGACTTTAGTTCTGTCCATGCACATAAGAGAGAACCTGAATTTTATAACCCACTTGGAGGGTAGCCTGATAGAAAATGAGTACCTGGCAAAGAATCTTGGTTTTGTTTATGAAAAGAAAATACGAAAGAGTGCACATCCATGGTACAGGATACCTGAGTGGTGAAGAACACACATGTAAACCATAGAGTGACTGAATTGCAGAACATGAAGTTAATGGTGGTTCTGTGGTTCCTAAAAAATCAAAATACACTTCCTCTACCTTTTAAGTCTAGCAATATACCAGTGTTTAAAAACAAAAAGCAATGTTTTGGGAACTTGTTGCAGAGCAGGCAGTGACCTGTAGTCTGAGATGGTGAAATTCTCAAGGAGTAATTCCTTACCCTGTTTTGTTCTTTCAGATTTGATGCTTAGACTAGTAAGACCAACAGACTGCCAGGGAAAAGGTCTATGTCCTCCATATGCACTGAAGGGATTAGGAGTCTTGTGTTGTTCTGGTAGTGATGGAAGGAAAAAAATAGTAAGACTTTTTCACTTCAGGAAAGAAACCCAGTCTTCAGATGACATTGCTGCTGCAGATTACTCATTAAACACTCTCATGGCCTATTTCCAACGTTTTCTAATCCTAAGGCACATTCCTTAGGTGCTGTGATATTTTTTTGATATCTTTGGAATATACACAAATTTGCTATTTGTTCTGTATTCTTCACAGATTTTAAGACTGAGTATTTTAGACATACCCATTCTTGGACAAATCAGTTCATTCACCTTTTTCCCCTTCATCTCATAACACAAATCCAAAATCTAAATTTTGGTGTGATAAGGACTTGACTGTTTTTAAGAAAAATGCTAATCTTCACTCTGAAATAGCTTAGTCTTCCAGTGATTACAGAATGTGCTTCGGAGCCGCCGATGAGTCAGGCTGTGAGTTGGAGTTCAGATAAGCCTGCAGTGTTTGTTCACCAGATGGACCATAAGCTCTGCAAAGTAGAGCAAAGGATACTGCTTATTAACACTGCTCCCAACTTCACTTATTTCTTTGTACAAAGTCTGGTTACTTGATGCAATTTTAGACTGTATTTACACTGTTAGGAGGAGGAAACAATTTTTTTATAACAGGATAGGCAAATCTAGCAAAGTAGATCAGACTAAAATGGAACTGAGTATGGTTCCTTTATTACATCATTTTAAGTAGGCAAGATTGATACCCTCCACTTCTCAAACACGCCCACACTGAATTTACATACCTGTGCAGTGGCAAAAAAATATTTAAATCAATTGTCTTGGGATTTTAGAGCAAATTAGCCCAGTCCCAGTTGTTACCTGTGCTTAAAACACCAGCTCTTTGACAGTTATGTGCAACCAACATAATACTTATATAAGAGTCGAATCTGGTTTTTCTCTTATAAACCTTGTGCTAGATACTAATTCTCACCTAACATGGGGAATTTTCAGTGGTAACTCTCTCAAGTGTCTTCTGTATAACCTGATTAAATATTTTCTGATGCAACACAGCTCAATCAATCTGCCATTATTCATAAATGTTATAATAAGAAAATTAATTTAACACTTTTATGCAATTTCTGATTTTATTTTGTTCTTTGGATTGGTACAGTTCATTTCTTCAGTTTCTGTGATTTTTTTTTTCCATCTTCATATTCTCAAGATGCTCAACCTTGCCATTTCCCCTTTTTAGTTTGAATCAATACAAGAAAAAAGTAAGTTACTAGTTATATTCTCTTCCTTCTATTTGGCTGTTTTCTTTAGAAATCAGAAGAAGGATGTTTTGAACAGTTAGTGATCATTGGTTATACCACAGTTTCAAAAATGAATGCCATACCTACTGCAATGTCCTTTCCAGATTTTACGTCTCTAAATATGGGGAAAGGAGAATGTTGAAGGAGGAGTCTGCTCCTCTCTCAGCTCTGCTTTTTCTGTCATTGCAGAAGTGTCTCATGCTGGGGCTCCCACCCATACACAGGGCTGATTTTACACTGAAGACTCAGATCTTTATGGCCTATAAATTATTGTGGTTTGGATACAAATCTTCTCTCCAGAAGGGCTTTCAGTAGGACATGTGTGAGACTTGTGCACTGCTGTTCCTCACTGCCCTATCAGTCACAGTAATTGTATACAGAGATTAGGAACACCCTGAGATATTTTCCAGCATATATGTTACCCCATAAAATCTGGAGGAAATTTTCCAATAGGTCATAAAAATTTTAAGAACTATGGATCACAAGTTCATCACAACTACTGCTGTGCTCCTTTTATAGAAAGCAGTGTTGCCCTGTGCTGAGGTATTGCCTGCCTTGGATGTTGCTGTTAGGGCTTTTAGCCATTTTAGGGTATCCATGGGAATGAGTCTCCCATTTCCCAATGAGGTGTGCAGGATTGGAATCAGGTCCTGAGGCTCTTGGGAGTGCTTGGTCATTTGGCCTGTTCAGAGTCTGTTTCTTTTCTGGCACCATGAGCACCTCCTGCCATCTACAAGCCCAAGAGAAGGCTGCAGGGAGCAATCATTCACCATAACTTCCTTTTGAAGAGAAAAGCACTTAATCCCAAATGGAAGATGCTTTTATCTTGTATTTGTCAGCAAATTTGCTTGACTGTGTTTACAATGCCCAATTATTCGACAGTCTGGAATAAAAATTATCCATCATCTTTCCAAGTTGTGCAGAACCTGTCAGAATATTCAGGAACACTTTGAGCCTTTCTCATTTCTTTGTTCTAACAGCTCACTTCACTGTACTGTGGGACCAGCAAATCTGATGCATGTGCAACTGGTGTGGAAGCCTGACACTGTCAAAATTTGTTATCATGGGCTCCCTGCCATCACCCCAGCTGGCAAAAATGGGACACGGTTCCAGTGCATGAAGGGAAGGTCAGCCAGACGATGCTCTGCTGTCACAGGAAGAGCCTTTCTGGGCTGACTTTCCTGGAAGTTGCTAATGATGTATTTTGACCTCTCTGTTTCAGAGATGCCTTGCAGTCAGTGATACTCAGGGAGTGGCACTCCTTGAAACTGACACGTGCTTCAGCTGCTTGTGAAACGTTGCAACCAAAGATACCTCCTGTAAAATTTTATTTGTAGCCTCACTGGATCATTAGGAAAATTCTCATAATAAAAGATGCTCCTGAATCTTACTAGTTGCTTCATTTTCTTCAGATCAGAAACTAAAGCACTTCCAATGGAAACAAAATCCCGCTGGTCTGTGCAAATCCTACCTGGCTGTCATTTTAAAAAGCAACTGTTCTTACCAGGAGATAATATTTTTACCTTTGGATTTGGTTTGTAAAGTGGAATTAGGCTTAGAAAAAGAAGCACTGTGCAGGCAGATTAAAGAAACCTCCCTACTTCAGTCCTATCATCAGATAATGAGATCTCTCAGATTAGAAAGCCAATATCAGTACGGGAGGAAAAGGCAGCTGAACTCGTCCGTTATGTTCACTTTTTGAGACACTGGGCATTCAGCTACAGCCGCCTTGAGCCTGGTCCGTGCGGACCTCACCGGGCTGCGGAGGTGTTGCACCTTGCTCTCGCTCTCAGTCCGCTGAGGTGAGATGATGCCAGGGATCCTTCTGATTCAGAAAAGAAAAACAACAAAAAACCCCTAAACATCACCTTAGCCTGGGGCAATCGGGGCCCTTTCAGCCGGTGAGCGGTGCGCAGGCGGGGGCTGCCGCCCGCCAGGTGCCGCGGCCCGGCGCGGTGAGGCCGCGCTCCCTCAGAAGATGGCAGTCACCGCCCGCCCGCCGGGAGCCGCCACCGCCCCGCCCCGGCCCCTTCCCCTCACGCAGCGCCGGGCCCGCCGAGCCCCCGCACCGCTCCTCCTCCGCCTCCAGCCCACCCTCCTCCTCCTCCTTCCTCTTCCTCCGCCAACCCCACCCCTGGCCCCGGGCCGGCCCGGCCGCGGGCTGCCGCGCCGCCAGGGCTCCCCGCCGGCTTCCCCCATCCCCACGCGCCGCGAACACCTCCTCCTCCTTCCCCCCTCCCTCCTTCCCCACCTCCGCCCTCCTCCTGCTGACGTCTGGCTCTGCCCGGCTGAAAACTCGGTGCCGCGGCGGATGCGGCGGCTCTCGGGAGCGCGGCGGCGGCAGCAGCAGCGAAGATGGTGGCGGCTCCGTGCGCCCGGCGGCTGGCGCGGCGCTCCCGCTCGGCGCTGGTGGCGGCGCTCACCGTGCTGCTCCTGCAGACCCTCCTCGTCTGGAATTTCTCCTCCCTCGACGCCGGCGAGGAGCAGCGCGGCGGCCGCGAGAAGCGAGACCGCGGCGGAGAGCAGCGGGGGCAGCCGCAGCGGCGCGGACCCGCCGCCCCGCACGGCAAGGCGCTGGTAGGCGGGGAGCGGGAGCGGCGGTGTCTCTCGGCGTCTGGCGGCACTTCTGCCGGGACTGCGGCGCGGGCAACTCGGGGCAGCCGCCCCGGGGCTCGCGTTCCCGCTCCCGCGTGGGCGCCTCCCGCAGGTGCCGCGGTGCGGGGCCGGTCCTGCCCCGGCCCGGGGCAGCGCCCGGGGGGCCGCGGGGCAGAGGCGGAAAATGCATCCGTGGGATCCTCTCCCTTCCCCGGGAGAAGCATCTCCCGTCCCATTGCCCGCGCTGCCTGCCGCGGGCATCCCAGCATCCCCGAAGTTCGCGGGAGAGCCGCCTGCCCCACACCGTCCTGGGGGTTTGTTTTAGTGCTGCTTTGCTTTTCCACACGGAAAAGCGCACGGGGGCTCTTCTTTATTGCACAGCTCTAACAGGCCTGGGAGGTGACGGGCAGTGAAATGTAATGCAATCGTTTTATTAACCGCTGACAACTCAGGGACACCGAAACTGTGCCCACACAGGATGAGGACCTTGTCTTTTATCTCATTCTTTTGCAAACTCTCCGGTTTTCATTCAGATGTCTCAGGCCTGAAACCAGAGGGGGTTGCAAATCTGGCTCTATTGCCAGTTGAGTTTTCTGGTTTTGAATTTTCTAGTTTTGAATTTTCTATTTTTAAATTTTCTATTAGGCATGTGAAAAAGCAAATTAACCATGTTCTTGCAAACCTCAGAGATGTAACACCAGTACCATTATTCTCCAGCTCAGGAGAAGCTTCCTTCGGTTTTCATTTTATTCTTTCAGCAGTAGGCTTACATTAAGTACGTGATGCCTCTGAAAGTGCATGCTTAGTTTTGTCGGTTTCTCTATTTTTGTTTACATCCTTGAGAGAGAAAGCAGGAACTTGGGGCACAGAGGTGATTTACCATTGTAAATTACAGTGAGTGGTTTGGCCTGAAAAGGCTGCAAAGAGCTGAGCTGAGCACACCAGTACTCCATCACTAACGTTTGGGATAGCTTGTAGTACGTACTCATCCACTGAGCGCTGATCCTGCTCTGCTTTCTAGATGTGAAAGTTAAAATTCTACTTTACTGAATTCAGCGTTTGTTTCTACACATAATCTTATCTTGGTATTTGCTGTGTTCATAAATGTAGCTATTTAAGCTCCACTATTTTTCCTCTATCACCTTGCCCTCTGCCTCTTTTCCTGTCCATCAATCCATCAAGTCATTTATGCTTTCATCTCTCAGTCTTGTCCAGCTTTTCCTTCCTGATCTCCCCACTGTGGGTTGCCAAGGTTGGCAGACGCTTTACCTGGGCAGGCAGGGGGCCGGGAGAGGGCAGGCTGCACCTGGAGCTTCAGCCCCGCTTCCAGCTCCCCAGACTTTCTAGGAAATGATCCTCTGCTGTGGGCTCAGGGCTGTGTTGGAACACGTTCTCTAAGCAGTTGTCCTACAAATGTCCTGGCACAGTGTCCAGTTTGCCCTGGATGTGCTGGAACGGGTGCTGGGTTCGGGTGGAGAGCTCATTGTTTCCATGCTGGCCACAGGCAGACACTGAATGTGAGTGTTTTGATGCTGGCAGTTATGAATCATGCCTTTTGCATACAGTTTTGATCAGAGACCTAAAGATGGAGCACTGGGGTTCTGAATGGAAAACGTGCTTTAAAACACATGCTGAGTGCACCTATTTTCTCCTCATTATCTAAATGACTGGTATGGATCACACTGGGCTGTGCCACAATGTCTGACTTTGATATTAAAAAAATAAAGGGCAACAATGCTCAAAGCAAGTGGCAGCACTTAACAACACTGTGTAGAGGTGATTTGGCAAGGCTTCTTCAAGATGACTTTATGGTACTTGTGGTTTTGCTTAGCCTGCTCACCGGGAAGGGGCCGCCATCCTTAAAGTTACTTTGTCAGAATACAAAACCTCACACTTAAGTATTCATCTATCAACTGCAATGTGTGCTTGGTGGAAAAGTGATAGGGAAGTTGTCTTTGTGCAGCCTTCTGCCTTAAAAACTTGCCACCTGTGTTAAATTGGTCGGTGAAGTTACCAGCCTTGCCTGTGTTACCAGTCGTGATTTCTGACTCAGTTCACGAGGAGAATCTCTGAGAAACGGAATTGAGTATCATCTGTGCAAAGGAAGATTTTTCCTGTTGTGTTGTTTGCACATTAGAATGCAATTTATGTAATATCCAAGCAAAGTTTGTATCCTTCTCAATCCGAGCTTTCCATAGTTTGTGTATGTCAAATTGTTTTGCAACAGTTGGAGAAGCTGGCTGGTGTGAATACACTGGTTCCATTATATCCACATGTCTTGGGTTAAGCGCATCTGAGGGGCCCTCCAAGGATTTTTCAAAGAATTCTCAGTCTTGCATTTTAACCAAAAATAGTATTAATTTCAATGTGTCTTTGGTCTGTGAGTGGAATGCTGAGTTTTAATGCATTTTGAGGGGTATATTTTTGAAAGGCTGCTAAATGTTCATCTGTAATGTAGTACTTGATCATAGTTTTTGTACTTTTTTCACTTGTCCTGTTAACTACCCTTATGTGAGCCTTTATACTAAATAGTTATGCAAACCAGGTTTTGGATACTTGGCAGAAGACAGTGCTTTTCAAACCTATGTCTGAAAGTTGCCATATGAGGCTACAGTGCTTTTATTTATCTTGTTTTTAATTTGTCTCAGTCCTGTGTAAAAGACTGAAATGGATGTCCCTATTTTACTTTACTGAGTTAGACATAAGTAGTGTGAGGATTTGGTAATTTGTGTCTGTGGGAAAAGAAACATAATCCTTTAAACCAGGTGTTTAACATATATTTAGATTTTTATTAAGTGCTGTCAGATACATGCAATAAGCACTATCATTTGGTAGATAAAATAACATTGTACTGTAGTAAAAGGTTTGCCACTGTACCTGCACGTAATTGAATGGGAATTGCCAACTTGGCAGGAAGAAACAATTTTGAATTGAGCAATTTTGCAACTGAAAACCCTCACTGTGCTAGATCCCCTGACCAGCTACACCTGGAGCTTTCATTAGTCATAAGCAGTTTCCTGCAGTTGTTCCATATTTAATTAAATCAGCTTATAGATACTTCTAAAGTATCAGCTGTATGGTTAGCACTGATTTCAGTGTGTACTTGCAACTGTTCTGGCAGCTGCACCCCTTGCTCAAGCTTTATTCATGAGGCACAACTCAAGTGTCAAAAGCACAGAAGAATTAAGCTCCCTTCTGAGAATGGGTTGATTTTTATGGGAGGGTCTTTATCTTTGAAAAGCATGCAACAGCTTTTTGTGAAAACACTGTAAGCATGCTGCTCAGCCTTGGGTTTCCTTAGTGCAGCCTGCTGATGGTGGAAGGGGCTGGTGGATGGTGTGTGTTAGGAGCCCAAAGGCAGAAAAATGGGATGCAAATCTCTGCTTTGGGGCTGCTGAGGATGAGAGGGACGTGACAGCAGAGCATCTGCTGCTGTGATGTTGCACTGACAGGCTGTTGTGCATCACAGGGATGCACTTGTGCTGCCCAGCTGTGGCCCCTGCCTCAGAGCTGGGGGTTGGAGGCACTGTCTGTGGGTACATGCTGCTCCTTTGTGCCTCCTGCTAGCCTTGGCTTTGCACTGCTGCCTGTTTGGCCATAAAGCAGAAATGCCAGGGCACTCTCACTGTCAGTTCAGTGAAATACAGCTCTTGCCTGCTGGTGTGGGATCAAAGCATTTCTTCAGTCTGAAATTTTGTGTGTTCTTTTAAAGCAATGGTGTGTTTCTTTCAGCATGAAGCTGTCAAAGGAACCAAACATATCGATAGCTCAAAATATTGAGAGCTGTAGAATGAAAAGAAAGTGTGTTTGGGGTCAGTGAGCAGTTTTAATTCCAAGAAAAAGTTAAGCCAGGGATGACAGTCCTGAGGATCACCAGTGCCTCTCCTTCATTCCATATCTGCAGTGGGAAATGTGGTGTTTCTCCTTCCCCTGGCAGAGTGGAGAGTGAGGCTGGGTGCTGCATGGGTTGATCAGATAGATGTGCTCAAGCCTGTGTTTTCTTGCTTTTTCCTTCCTTGTCACCTCCTGGTGATTCATGCTGAGCTCCACCAGGTTAAAGGTGCAAGAAGCAAAAAGTAATTACAATGTGTGCCTAAACTCTGTAATCCCTGTTGGCTACTGGAGCTAGGAAAGGCATCCAGGAGCTGCTCTGCTCCATGCTAAGGGTTATAAAAACTGGGATCAGTTGTTGTAGCTAGAAGCAAAGCAGCAGCAACTCTAATACTGGACAGCACCATGGGAATCATACAGGAAAGAAAACCCAGGAGGGGTTTACTCCACTTTCTGTACTTTATTCCACTTTCTCTAAGGTTCATCCATCAATTATTTCCCCCAGCCTTTCCCCAAAGTAAGACCAGGGCAGAATTCACCTTGTGCATCACATAAAAGCTTGAGATTCTTTCAGGTTTGGAGATGAGAGTTTTCTTTTGAAGTGTATTTGCCCCTGGAATGTTTAGATTGTGCAGGTGGATTCCCAGCACTGTTTTGCCAGAAACAAACACACAGCCTGGACCTTCCCTGTGCTGAGCATCCGTGTGGGAGGTACAGGACAAGTGAGTTTCTGGATGGAGCACAGCTTTCAGTGCAGCACCAGTGCTAAAGCTCAGCTTTGCCAGGGATGGCAGCAGCTGTGCCTTGAAGGAGGGAGCCTCTGCCATGGGTGAGGAACAGGGCTGCTGCTGGAAGAGCCACTGCAGTCCCTGGCAGTTCACTCTGCAGAGCTGCACGTAAGTGTCAAATAAGCTGTTGAGCTCCATAAAACAAATGAGTTTTCAAAAGGAACTATCCTGTGGGGGGATAGAATGTAAGAAACTAAAGATAGTGCAGCAGGTAATATCACCCCTGAAGAGCTGCAGCTGTGCTAACTACCAACAATTAGGAGCAGGCCTGCCCTTAACAGGGCACAGCTGTGTCCAATGAGGATGAGTGCTATAAAAGAGTGGGTGAGCTGGGTGAGGAGAGTTGTTGGAGTTTGTTGGCCG